GGGACAAGCGACGGGTGCTCACTCCGTCGCGTGGGGCGGGCGGGGAGGGCTCCGGAACGTCTACGCCGAGGTTCTCCACTTCCAGTCCATGTGCTCCTGCCTCTGGTACAAGAGCCGAGAGAAGCTGCAGTACTCGATCCCCATGATCATCCCCAGAGACCTTTCCACCTCGGACACCTGCATGGAACAGAGCCATTCCTCCCCGGGGCACTTCCCGGAGACGGCGTCCAACCGATGCTTCTGCAACGCCCAGCGCTCGGCCATCAGCTCGGTCTCCACGGGACTCCACAGCTTGACCGCCTTCCAAGGACTCATGAAGCGGCGGAGCTCCGTGTAGAAGGGCCTGGGGGGTGGGTGCGCACTTGAAAAAGCAAGCAAGCAAAACCCCAGCAAGCAAACTGTCTTTAAAGACTCCGGGGAAAGATTTTCAGGGAAGGAGGCCCCAAATCCCCAGGGGAATCAGACTATGAACTGAGGCAGATTCTCTCTCTTTCTCTCTCTGCGAAGAGAACACATGGAACGGCAGGCAGCTCAGGGGTGGGATGAGCCCAATCTGGCCCCTCAGCAGATGGGTTATTGAGTCCTGGGCTGGCCCCACATCCGGGGATGGGGAACGGAACCACACGGGGCTTCTACAGCTAGGTAGACCTTCTCCTGTGGCGGAGGCAGAGCGGAAGGGTGAAGGAACGGTGGTTGGTCCTCCCAAAGGGAGCCACTGGCCCTCGTCACCCCAGGAGTCCTTGGGTTGGACCTTCCTTCAGACGGTTCAAACTTCAGACTTCTTGTCTGCAGCCTCTCCACAAAATGTGAAACTTTGAAACTAGGTTTTTGCACCGTGGCGGGAGTGTGGGACGAAACCGAGGGGGGCTGAGCCTGCGTGTCTTGATCTAGACCTCTGCGGAGGTGGGGAAGGACGCTGCCGTTCTTTCAGATCTGGTCCAATAAAGTGGGGTGGGGTGGCCAGGAGATGAGGATCGAGCCCACCCTGTCTACACTCCTTTCACCTGATTCCACCACCACCCTCGTTTTTAAAGCTGAGGGGGGTCTCCTCTCTTGCCCACAGCTTGGGAGCCCCCCCGTTCTCCCAGTCCCTAACACCTCTCAGGATTTGTGCATCTGGAGCACAGGAGGAAATGGGTTGCAGAAAAGCGCGTACAGTGTGGCCTCCCTTCTGTATGCACGGGGAGGGCAGGACACAGAAAAGTTCCTTTTGGGGGGGGATGAAAGCCCCTAGATCCTCCCACAAGCTGGCAGGAGAGCCAAGCTCCGAGGGATCCCGAGAGTCTGTTGTCTGAAAATTTCAATTTCCCAAGTTTTGCCAGAAGGTCCCTCAGCAAAAGCTGCCTTTTATGCACTTGTGTGTTCCTTTCACAGGTGGTGCCCCCCAACTCCCAACTCCCCCCCAGAGGGTAATAAGGTATGAAGGACCTCCCTCCCAGATGATTCCTGTGCAAGGATGCAACACGGGGGCACACACCCTTCCTTGCAGTTTTGCTGTGTGCGGTTCGGTTACCAAAACTGACCCGGGAGTACATTAGCACTCCCGTAACATCGACACATACCACAGAGTAAACTCTCCATGTTGGTGTGCTCCATATTGTCCTTTTCTCCTCCATTGCACCTCCTTCTTCTCCTCCTCTGCAGCCTGTCCAAAGGGGACGGCCGCTGTAATTTTTTTCAAACTACAATAGGACCCCTGTATCTTCAGGAGATCCATTCCAAGCTCACTCCCCAACATAGATGCTGAAAAACACAGATGATAGCAGACACTATCCTAATCGCAAAGATATTCATAGCATGGTCTCTGGTTCCTCTTATGGCCAGTTTTGGAACCTTCATCATTAAAACGATATTTGGGAGGATTTTTCTTTTTACTATTTTTAATATTTTCAGCCTGTGGATAAGGGAATCGGCAGAGATTGATCCCTCGAATAAGGGCACCCTGCTGTATTTTCTAAGTGTGTGAATTTGGGCGTCGGGGGCGGCGGCTCTGTGTTACGAATGTTCTAAGGAGATTCCCGTCAAGGGTCATGATGACTCAGTACCCGCGGATAATGATGTAACCAGGGTGGGATGCGAGGTGAGGGCAGGACATTCACAGGCCACCTCATCTCACCGACCGTTTTTGAGCCCCGAGATGTGTGGTTTGTTATGAAAAAGGAGAACATCTATGCAAAAGAAGGGAAAAGGATGTCAATCATCAGGTGAAGGCAGCCTAGGGTCCATGCTTCCCCACGGGAAAAGGATGTCAATCATCAGGTCACATGAAGGCAGCCTAGGGTCCATGCTTCCCCATTGCTAACGGAGATGATGTGGAGATGACCGATCACGCCTGCTGTTGCTCTTGGGAACATCAGCGGTCTCTCTGCCACCGACCACCAGCCATTTCTAGGGCTTGGCAAAATTGCTTTTGGGGGATCACAACAGCCCAAATCCCCCTTTTTAGACTCCAAAAAGTAACTTCCCCAGGCTCTAGAACGTGTGCTGACTTTTGGGTCTTCTCCAAAGTGGGTGAGCAGCGTGTGGCCCTCCCAATGCCATCGGACTACATGTCCCATCAGCCAGCGCAGCCAGCTGTGAGGGAACTTGGGCGCTGCAGTCCGACCATATCTAGAGGGCCCCAATTTGCCTACCTCTGCCTTCGATTGGCCAGCGTAGCCTGCAGGAACGAAGCCAACAAGCAGCAGACATGTGAGATGGACCACGTCATACTGCGGGAGCATGGATGTCCGAGTCCTCCCTCTCTCCCACATGAAAAACTCCAAAGGAAGAGAGCAAAGGCTGTGTACGTAGAAAACTCAAAGGGGAAAAAAACATGTGCTGGGTTTAGTCCATTTCTCCTAATATGGTCTCTCTCTCGCTGTCTCTCTTTTTCATTTTCAGCGTTCAGGAAATGTTGTTCTAAGGTTGCTCCTTTCACTTCTCGCAAAGTTTGCATTCATGCTTTTTGTATCTCCAATTCTTCCTGCTCCAAATATGCAATTTGTGAATAACCACAATGTTGTTTTTTTTAAACTTGTCCACCCCTCTGCGCTGGCCAAATTCAGTAGATACAGCGGTTTCCCAGCACGGAAGGGGCTCCTGTCACATCTATCTGCCATCTATGTGCTCAAGATGATAAGGGGAAAACAAAATAAGCGGAAGGCCTTCATCATCCACTGCTAACATGTCTGAAGATGCTGGGATTTCAACCTGGACTTCCAAGATTTAAGTGCCCCAAACCCCAGGGCTGTATGATGGGTTTTCCATTTTCCTTTCTTCCTACATTCATTAGCGCGCCCGCCTGCACACACACAAGCAGAACATCTGTTGTAGATTCAAATTGGAAGAAATCTGTGAATTTTTCAAAACAACTTCCAAGCCATAAAGGAAAGCAAAATGTTTTTTTCCGTCCCTGTTTTGAGATATGGGGGAGAATTCAAACCTGTGGCAGCCTAGCTGACCGTCTGAAATGGTCCCGTCTGGCAGACAATGGCTCTAGAGAACCAAACTGCACATTATGAGGTTGTATCTTCCCTGCTGGCAAAGCCCCAAGCCTGAGTTATGAAGCCCTGTTTTCCAAAACCCAATCGCAAAGTGAAAACAGATCCCTTTTGCTTCTTAAGAGATCTCTGCTTCTAATGATGAGCTAACTAGACTGCCTCGCTGGCCTAAGTTTTCTCCCACCTTTGTCACCTACGAAGGTGCCTTTGCTGGGAAGGCTATAAATTAATGAACACACCTGAACTGGGGGGAAATTAATTAAAAATTCCCACTCCCTATGGGAGTAGTTGCTGAGACAGTCTCAGTCTTTAAATGTCCAGTGAACCACCCTTGGAAAGGCAGGCCAAAAATACTGTGGCAACTTGCAAGCCACAAGGAGCCATTTGCAAGGAGACCCCGACATTTGCCACGGAAGAAAGGAGATGCACCCAAACGGCCGGGTGGAGCTGCCTCTCCAGCCTGGGTCAAAGAATACAGACGAGGTGGCAACCCTCAAGCCAAAGATGATCCCATCCTCTTGCAACCGATATGTTTTATTTCAAATGTTGTCATCCCCACTTTTCTGAGGGCAATCCTCCCGCACGGATGGCAGCCAGAACAGACTCTGCACGCTGAGTTACTCCACAAAAGGGTAGGACAGGGGGCCTCAGGATCAGACCCACCACATACCTGAGGAGGGGGAAGGAGAAGGGAGCAGCCCACCTGCCCAGGTGATGCAAGAACAGAACTTGGAAAAATTACTCTATTTCTTTTTTGGGGGGGTGACCCTGTTCTTGGCCCTCCCGGTGGCAGCCGAACTGCCCTGCCCCCCTCATCAATGGCTCTCATGGCCTTTTAGCTTGGGAGCTCAGAGCACTGATGCGATGCAGAAGGTCCTTTTGCTTTTACTGACATTGGTTTGGGCCACAAAGCAAGAAGGAAGCAGAACGAAAGCACCAAGGGAGGCAGAGAGCGAGAGAGAAGACAGGAGGACGGAGCCTCCTGGATACAAGCGGTGTCCGCATCAGCGGGCAAATTAGGCTAAGATGGTCTTAGGCGAAAGCTTTTTATATTTCGGCCCACGTGACTACGTTTGCGGTGGCGGCACAGGCGACCGGCAGAGCCTCACGTAGGCAAAGGCAGCCTGGCCGGCTTGCAGACGGGGCCTCCGGCCGGCTACCGTGAGCCTCCAGGGCCAGTCCCGGAGCGGCCAAGCGCAGGGCAGGAGCCAGAGCTGAACGATGGGGCAGGATCCAGAACCACAGAGAAGGATGTTTTGGAGAGGACCTGATCCAGGTTGCCCCTCCTGTGACCCACCGTGGCCAAGCTCAAGGGGATTGCAGTGTGTGGGCGACGGCTGTTCAGGACAGTGGCCGAAGTTGCCCTGGGGAATTTTGGCTGAAGCACAAACTGGAACGAGGGTAGTGCAAAAGGGGGGGGGTCATTTCCTCAGCCTGGGAGCTTTTGAATGTAGCCACAAAAAGCCAGATTTCTTTTTTTAAAAAATGGTGAGGTTTGTGGGACAGGAGTTAGACCTTTTCCCAGACTTGGAGCTTGTTCGCTTTGGAGTCTCTGGATAAAAGGATGTGAAAGAATGTGGTTTTGTTTAACTCCGTGGCTCTGCTTTGATCCATCCATCCGTCTTGATGGATGCTTTAAAGGCCTCCATCTAGGCGAAATTAGGCCAGGAAGCGTTCGGAGAGCACCCTGCTCTCTCCCGCAGGTTCTGGGGGCACAAACACTCCTCCTCTCTTTCCGTCGCTCTCGGTGTGCTCCCAACCATTGCCCATCCCAGGCCATGCGCAGTGAACAGCCTCTCATCCATTTTGCTACTTGGGAGTAAAGACAAGGGGTAGAAAGCATGCCGCACCCATCAGCTTAGCAGGGGTTTCATCTCCAAAGCGAAGGCTGACGCTCACAATTCTAGGGATGCAAAAGCCAGATTCCCCCCCGCTTCCCGAGTGCAGAGCACTCTGCGTGTGCTCAGGAGCACTGCCTCCTTCCTTGTGTTTCTTTATGTCCCATCGAAGTCTAAAGCCCGGCATTTCAAGTGAAACGCACAGCCTCTTGCTCTCGGGGAGAACATCTGGAGGGAGCCGTCGTTCCAACATTTTCCTCTGGGTTTCGGTCCACTTGTCTAAGCGTGAGCCTTCACAGCCCTCGCGCGATTTCTTCCATATCACGGGGAAAGACCTTTTCTGACGAGCTTGAATGTAATTCTTTTCCCTGTATTATTATAGACACCCGAAATGTTACCCCAGAGGCCCATTCACACAACCAGAACCATGTGTGGAAACCCTGCTGCCGGCAGCATAAGAGGCTGTGGGAAGGGTTCTGTCAGCCGACAATCCCCCCCCACAGGAAAGGGAAGGACCTGAAACTCACGAGGGAAACACAGGTTCGGCTTTGAAGACAAGGTGCACAGATTGTTGTAATTTTTGGGCTACGGCACCCAGAAAACCCTCAGGTAGCCAGCTGAAAACCCCGTCTGCGTACCTCTAGTTTTGAGAAAACCCATTGCCCAAGGAAACATTGCCTCAGACATGGGCTCCTGCCGTTTCTCGTAGTCTCCCCGCCCTTTGCTTGCGCTCAGCAAAACTTCAGGTAACTTGCCACCGGTCTGTGTGCAGAAGCTGGCTAAGGGCATGGCCCCCCCTCTCCATCCGAAGGTCTTCCACGAGCCCCCCCCCCACAGGAGCGTTGGCTCACGGCTGGTTCTTTTCCAGAGGCCAGCGGTTCCGTTTGCAGCCACCACATCTCACCAGCACAATCTTCTCCATCATCTTCTGCCTTTTCTTTGGGACCTGTTTGCAGACCCTGTTCTGTCGCCCCAGGGAAGAGGAGGTTTGGCGTACGAGAGAGATCGGGCTTCTCCAAGAGACGTCCCTCTCCTAAAACCCTTTTTGCTGCTAAGGAAATATTCATGGCGACATACTTAGGGCCGATCCCTCATGAAGCCCCAACTCAACCTCACCCTTTAGCGCCGTCTGATCCTACAATATTTTTGGATCTCACGGGACTTTGAAGGCTTTTGTAGTGAAATACTTCAGAGAATATACTTCAGAGAACCTCATATCTTAGGGATCTTGGAAGCTTTCCGTGAGACTAGCTGGCTCTTTGCAGTCCGATCCACCCACAGAGCTTTTTGGGTTCTTAGGAACCCCGCCTGCAACCTTCTGTCTACATTATGTCAGACTGGTGCGACTCCACGGAAGACCATTAGGATACTGATCACGACGTCCTGAAGCTCTTTGGACATGTGAACAATAGGAAAGACTCAGCTCCCGATCCACATTGGGGCTAAGCGGTGAGGTTTGGATCAAGCTCAGGGACCTCTCAACTGGATAGCACTGTTGCAAATAAATAAATAAATAAATAAATAAATAAATAAATAAATAAATAAACAAACAAACAAACAAACAAACAAATAAAATCATCATCATCATCATCATCCCCGAGGGTTCTTCTTGCCTTCTCTTAGGCAACAGGATCCATGGTCCTTCTCCCCTACAGCCTGTACCTACGGATCCTAAATCTTGTCATCGTCTGCATTTTAGAGATAATACTCTTAGAATAGCAGAGCTGGAAGGGATCTTTTGAATCTTTGGGTCCAGCCTCTATTAAGGAGGCTTTTTTTGGGGGGGGGGAATGCCTGGCTCTGCAACCAGAGACTTAATCCGTTGGGCAATCCAGCAGTACAGGGGATGGATGGATGGCCTTGGGA